GTTTGTATAATAATGCTGTATATACATATATATATATATACTGTATGTATGTATAATGTAATGTATAATAATGCTAATATGAATCTATATCTACACTATACATATGTCTATAATTATATTATTTGTATAAATAATGCTTATATGCTTACATATGTGTTTGTATAAATAATGCTATATATGAATCTATGCTGCACTATACATATGTCTATACTTATATTTACTTTCATGTAAAATCTTATTGCATATAATATTTTTATTGTATGTCTTTAATGTCTACATGCAATATATGTATATATATTATGTGTTTGTGTTTGTCTTTTAGATTGTATGTTGCCTATGTCTACATGTGTGTCTAAATCTGTCTATCTCCATACATATATATGTCCATAACTATTATAACTGTGTTCAATGTTACATTTTATTACGTTTGTACCTGTGCCAGCATCCACTAATTACTAATTATAACAATAATTAAATTTATACGTAATTTAATTTTAAACTTTAATACAAATTTTAACAACAAATTAAACATGATAGATATACTATACTATATTATACAACATGTTATGGCTTTGCATTTGCATTAATTAGACATTTTTACTCTCAATTGTCAAAAACTTGCTGTCAAATCGAATTTTCATTCCGCTCCAAAAATCCACCAATCTTAAAAACATCCATTCCCATGTCAAACTAAAACTTTTCATCTTGAGCTTCCACTTTCCAAGGATCTCATCCCCTACTCCCTCCTCCCTCCTCCCTCCTCTCGCTATGCATGAGTCTTAAGCTTTATTCCCTTCAAGACAGGAGCTTTTACTTACTGACTAGCATCACGCCACCGAAAATATTGTCCGGATTTTCCGAGCTGATGGAGCAGTTCCATCTGGCTGACCGAAACTGGTGTTGACACTCTTCGATAGCCAATCTCGCGCCCGCGCTCACTGCCTGTAAGCAAAAATAATCATGAAAGTCACAAACATAAGGAAATAGGTTGATCAAATTTGGATGAATTGGAATGCAGAGGACAATGTTGATTACAAATTATTATTTAACAAAGATTAATATATTCAGTTAGGAAATGTGTCGGTCTTGATATGTATCAGGCTTCCACCAATTGATTCATGTCGATTCTAATATTAGAATATAATTGAATTGGGTGTCAGTGGATGACACATTGTGTATATTATTATATGTAATAGGATCTATCGAGGATCTGTTGACGTACAATTACTATAATGGCAGGTGATTGAAATTAATACGACTTCGATCAATGGGATTAATTAGAAATTGTTAGCGCTGTTACAGCACGTTGTGAATCACTATTATAACAATACTACTGGAGGAATTAGACAATCCATCATGAATGGTATTCTTTTAAATAAAGGTAAACGTGTCGTGTCGGTCACTCGTGATCGCAATAAAGATTACAGAAACGGAAAAGGATAAAACGAAAATCACGTCAGAGCTCGATAGCCTGTAGAGATTTTCGACGTGAAACAAATCGGGAATCGTTCGATCCGTATCTGGTTAATCGTTCGAGGATTAAACGTCGTGGTGTCGTTATGAATATTCATAGAGTGGAGGAGCCTTTTGTCGGTAAGCAGCACTCGGGAAAACGAAATGGTCGGCACGGTTCAAAGAGATATATCGAGCCTGCAGAGTTTACCTAGACATCGGTTTCTATAGAACAAGATTTGTACATTAGTCGAGGTAAACGCGATTTTGGGCAACATTTGGGCCGCGCGTTTTCACTGTCTCGTAGCACAAGCATTGTTTGGAATTTTATTAGACTCTGATGTTGAAGCATGAATTTTATACTGTCGAATGGCATGAACACCTTTAACATATCTTTCCCATGGTAAAAGTCTCTCCAATAAAAAAAATGTTACTTCTCTTGCTTTTAATGAATTCTCGTGCCCTAGCGTTGGTTTTTAACGGACGTAGAATTAAACGATACAAGGAGAAAGTCGAGAGCAAATGGTTGCTGGTTGCTTGGAATTTTTAAACGAACGTATTTCATGTTGTTTAAACCACGTGAACATGTAATATGTAATCAAGTAACTTTTAATTGAAATTCGAAGAATTTATAAAACTCGGGATCATTTCAGAGATCATAGACGTTCAACTTTCGCGGACAAATTCCACGCTCGTACGATATACCAACTAAATTTACAATGACTGGAGGAATTTCACGGAGATCCAGAGAGCCTCGATCCAAGATCACGGAATTCGCTACTTCATTTACCGACCGGGAAGCGGTCTCGAAAGGAGGTCGGTGTAGGGTTCACTGAAGACCCTGACTGTTCCACAGTGCTCGAGTATTAAATATTGCAGACGTGGCAAACGAAAGCTACAACTCGACCGCCGCATTCCGGGAGTTCTTTAGAATCGCGCGAATTCACCAGTGCGCGCGCGCTCGCACTATTTTCCACCCTCCGTGATCTCGAATCATGCTCTTAAATCTCTATACTACCCACCCGCTCTATACCACGCCATGAAACACATGTACACACACACACATGTGTTTATGTTCGTTTTAATTTCTGTTTTGGATTTATCGACGTAATATTATATATGTCTTATTATATATGTAATATTATATATGTCTACAGTGTTTTGATTGGTTGCTGTATATTTCAATGCATTCCACAGGAAGGAATTTATTTAAACAATTTATAGCAGTATAATTTATATGATATTTTAACATAATATACTATACTACTAACACGTACAGATATTGTATCATATCATTTGTTTAGAA